TTTCACCTCATATCCTCCTCCAAATTACTATCTTCATAATCACTCACTACTAAATAATTTCCTTCCTCAACCGAAAATCAATCATTATCGCCAAAATTAACTTTTTCTAAAAGAAGAGATTTTTTGTTTTCTTTTCACTCCATTATTTTTTCTTTCGAAACTGTGTTTGCACCAAAACTTCGCGGAAATCAAAATATTTTGTGGAAGGTAAAATTATTGCCGTTTATTGAATAAGTTTGGGGGGAAATATCAAAGACAAAACTATCCAACTTTTCTTCTCCTACTGTTGCCCCACTCTCAACAGCAACAACATTCTTTCAATTGATTTTTATGTTCTCTGTTTTGCGAGATTTTTCGTATTTTTCGTGATTGTTTGAAGCAAGAAGATTTGTATAAACCACCAAAGTATTAGGACAATTAGTGGAAAAGCCAATTCCTTTTCCAACTTCCTCAGCTTCTCATCTTAAAGCAAAAAGTTTATTGTTTTCCAGTTTCTTAGTCAGAACAATTTCAGCACTAACATTAATAAAAAAATCAATCGTTTCCACTCTCCTCTTTTCACTGTCTAAAGAAAGTTCAAAGGGTTCGACCTTTACTCGGATAAATTTTTTCTCTTGGTCTCCCATGCCTTTCGCTAATCAATCATCAACTTGCTTTAATCCCAGTTTCGTTTTGGTCGCTTTTAGCGTTTGAATAGCACCGTTTTCTTCTTTTTTTGAAAAGTTTATTTTTTGGGTCATAAATCATCTAATAGAAAAGTTAACCGTGGTATAATTTTATGGTTAATACCACTTTTTTTTAAAACAAAAAACTATTTATCAGTGCTGAACGAACCCAGAATAATTTTTAAACTCTTCTATTATACCACTCTACTACTAGCGAAGCATCAATACCTTTTTTTAATTCTTCTGGCATAGGATGACGCAAATAATTAATAGTTAGTTTCTGCCTGTCAAAGTTTATATGAGAAGGAGTCTTAATATTTTGTTCCAAATTATTTTTAATGATTTTATTTTCTTTCATTTTTTCTTTTCTTAAACTAACAATTTGACCGATTTCTACTTTATAAGAAGGAATGTTGACTTTTTTTCCATCAACCAAAAAATGTCCGTAACTAACTAATTGCCGAGCAAAACGAAGAGTGTTAACTAACCCTGATTTTAGAACTAAATTATCAAGACGTAATTCTGAACTCACTAGGAGGTTAATACCGGTATCACCAGCCTTCGATTTAGCTTTTAGATATTCATTCTTCAATTGCTTGTCACGCCAGCCATAACCATACATAACTTTTTGTTTTTCTTGTAATTGTAATCCGTAAGGAGACTTTTTTCTTCTTTTCTTTCCACCATGTACACCAGGAGGAGTAATTCTTTTTTTGCCCCGACTAAATTCTTTTTT